CCCCCCCCCCCAACTTCATTCTGAAAGTTTAGTTTGGCCAAAATTTGACAGATTTTCAAACACAAGGAAGGGGGCATGCCCTGTGATATGTAGTCTGTACTTGTTAAAATTAGTGCTTGTTCCAAACTATAGGGGCATACACACTTTGGAGTAAATGTCACAAGGAATTATTTAAAATGGGGAAAACACATTTTCCTCGCATCATTCTCAGAAATGGCTGAACCATCTTAGCTGTGATTTTTCTTAATTTCCTTCTAAGGCAGATATCCAGCATGGTAGATTTCAGTCTCAAAGTATTCAAGTGTAGAAAAGTAAAGGGAAACTGAGAACCAGGTTTCATAATGGGAGGTGTTGGGTAACCTCATAATAGTCAGTGTAACCAATCCTAATGTTAGTTTAGAAATTTACTTACGGAAGAGGCTGTCAATTTCAAAACTCATATGTAGTTAACAACTTGTGTACTGGCTATTAATATCAAGAGTTTTAATTCAATCAGTATATCTGTATGACTTTCAACCTAATGAAGTTATATTAAAAAGGGCTTAGTTGCATTTAATTCACATCAGTAAAGGAATGTACAATATGCCTTAAATAACTGAAAGACCACATCAGAAAAAATGAATATAGATACACATATTGACTCCATGTACTCTATTCATTGGTTTACATATTTTAAATCCTCAATAGAATCCTTAATTCCACATAATAATTTTAGTGTTTTTGAAGTTAGCTGAGAGATATGGGAAAACATCGCATGTGATTATACATACCAGCAGGTGCTGGAGAAGCCAAGTTATTCCAGCTAAGGCCATTAAACTCCATTATACACACTTTTTTTTCCAAGGTAGCATAAATTCTATTAATCTCATTCACTTCAAGATTCTTTGAATACAAATGACGATATGGATTTGATTTATTTTTCTAGACGTTGTTATACAACCAGCTCTGAAGAATAATGTCTAGATTACCATGTGCACCCAACACTGTGCCTCTGATCCAGTGAGAGAGCTGAAGTTCAAAGCCATAAAAACATGCTGACAGTTTCAGCCTTTCATATTTAGAACTTTTTATAGATGGGAAAAGCATGGTTCACTTTAAATTGGCTTTTACCTGTGGAATAATGTTCAGATTGCTGCGCAGATCATGGAGTCCAATAGTTGATATGTCAATTCCATCTATAATTATTTTGCCCCCAGCTCTCTCTAGAATTCTAAATAAGCAATTTGTGAGTGTTGATTTACCAGCTCCTGTTCTTCCAACAATTCCAACCTGGAACAACATTAAAAAAAAAATTGTCATTTCCACTACCTCAGGTAAGATGCTAATAAGTCAATGGATACTTTAGTAAATAAGTTATTTCAATTTTCTTTATTGATGTTAAACATTGACTGCTTATAGATGTAACCCCTCACCCACCAAAAAAACCAAAAAATAAATGGTGCTTTACTTTAAATTTGGCATGCCCCTGCACCAAGTGCATGCCCAGAAGAGGCATCACATTAGTTTGACCCAGCTCGCCCAATGTCTGTATACATTGGGTGCTACAGTGGGGCATTTTTGGTGATTGAATCAGCTTTAGCTAAAAGCACCAAAAAAGCTCTGCTGCTTTGTGCAATCGATACAGATGGTGCAGAGTCGGGTGGAACTAACACACTGCTTCCTCCAGTAAAGCATGTGCTTTTTGTGTTCTTTGTGGGGGGAGGGGTTCCACATCTGTCAGCAGCCATTGTATAGAAAACCCAAGTTTTAAAAAGCAAAAATGACTTTCCCCCACCCTATCCCAATCAAGAGGTCCAAAATTCAATCTTGTTGAAATAATGACAAGTAATAATGTGCTTAGAAAGTGTTGTCAGGTTCCTGACTACCTATTTTATTTTGTGGAAGGAAGTGTCTCTTTAAAAGTATTTTGTCATCTAATTCAAAAGTTCAAAGGTTTCATCTACCAGAAAAGCAGCAGCACTGTAATCTAGGGCCAGATTGTGATCCTCTTTTCTTACTTTAATAAATTCTTACTCATGCAAGTAGTTCCATTGGCCCAAGACTTTGCTCATATTGTTGCTGGACCTGTACTAATATAACTGCTGAGGTTTTCAAACAAGAAAATGCAAGGTTCCATTTGCTTCATGCTAATGTAACTTAAAACTAAGAAGTCATTTACCACATGTAAGACACAGACAAAACTGACAAGGAAATATTTCCCTCCCTGCTTCTAAAAGGGAGAACAAAAAGATATCAAGATCCAATTAAAGACATGATTGGCTGCATTAGTTTAATGTGAGGCATTCAATGTGTCACAGCATTGTGCCAGCTCTTATCAAGTACATTTGTATTTGAACTACAGTACATCTTGACCTTAAACGCTGCTTTATTAAAAAAAAAAATCACAGTCTAGATTTTCAGCTGATATTACTGCGTAAAATCTCACGTAAAAACAAATGGGTATTAGCTGGCCATGCTTAAATAGTTCTTAGGCAACTGAGTTCTGGAAGTGCCCTCCTGGTAGTCTGATAAATTCACAAGGGGTGCCTACATCAGCAGGAGAACCTTTTTAGTCCAGTGTTTCTAAGTTAGCTGACCCTTTGGCTCCTTGTAAGTAATACCAATATTAATTAAATGTAAATTAAAACCTACCCTTTCTTATGGACTGTACAAGCATTTATAAAATGATGAGCTATGTTTGTGCCAAATACGAATCATTCTAACTATGACTCCTTGAATCATTCCAGAGTGAAAACCTTTACAGAGCTTTACATTACAACTAATTTCCAATATGCTTTTTCACTTAATTAAAAATACAATATACATAATGTTAGCTTATGGATGTCTCTTCCCCCCCCTTTAATGTTTTAGAGAGAAAATTAACAATAATATCTTTTTTTCCTGGTCATTTCAAAGCTCTTCCATGAAAATTTGTTTTTTTTTATTTTTTCTTTCCATTGTCTTTTCCTTTGAAGTCATTACCAGTTAATACATTTCCCCCATGCAGGAAAATGTACATACCTGCTGTCATGTTAAATTGGAAGAGCTTGCTGCCAGAAGACTAGGATTCTACAGTCTACTGAATGCAGAAAGTTAACGGGAAAATCCATCTATTTTGTATTATTTTATACCATTTACAGTACCTTCTCTTGACTCCGTGTTTGAAAGGAGATCTCCTGCAGTGCTAAACCAAGATCTGTTCTGTACCGGGCTTGATAATTAATGAACTCTATTATTCCTTTACTGGGCCATCCCACAGGTGGCCTTTTAGAAGTTAACCAGGGGGCCTGAAATTAAAATCAATATTTCAGTGGGCAATATTTACAATATTTCAGTGGGCAATATTTACATTTTTACAAGCCACTTCAAAAATTTATGCAAACGGGTTAAAATGTTAACAATACAAACAGTCATGCTATGATTCAGTTGCAGTCTAATGAATTGAGAAATGAGTCACCCAGGTGGTTATTTGGATTGTCCATTAAAAATGCATTAGTATATGCAGATTAATTTTTCTCAGGAACTGGGTCCTTGAATTCAGAGATTGTATGTGCTCACTTGGAGAGCAAGGTTAACTGCTTGAGTGCTACATTGTAGTATCTTGCCAATTCATAGGCCTGAGATTTGAAGCAGACTCTGACATCTTTAGCCTCAACTATTTTTTTCCCTTATGCTACTGGGGTAAAACAAATTCTGTAAAGTTGAAGTAGGGGCAATATACAGAGGAAACAGGAGGCTGATCAGAAAAATAAAGGAATGGCTATAAATAGGTTACTTTTTATGCACCCACTATTGTCAATAAGATGTAGTCTGGACCTTTTTACCTGCAACTTTGTATAGCCAGTGCCAAATACTTTAAATGAAACAAGACACTGTTCAAAGACAAGGTGAACAATCATAAATAGAGAAGAGTAATTGACTTCTGTTCAGTTCACTATTAAACTTCAATTTCTCTGTTTAAAATGCTCACCTCTTTGTTCATTTTTGCATATTCACAAATTCTTTCAATGGAAACTCCGTTGGTTTCAATTTCACATGCTTTACGAACCCAAAAATTCAGACTTTGAGTTATCTAGGGACCGATGTAAATAAAAAATTATACTACAGAATGTTAAAGATTCTTGGCTTTGTTAAAATGAAATATAGTAGACCTAGAAATTTAGGAATGCAAGAACTTTATCACAGGGAGCATCAAGATACACGTCAGAAGCTTAGGTAGTCCTGGATGATACAAAGCACAAATCAAGGGCTGGTATACAAAGCTGGCTTTAAGCTTCCACTTTTACTACGTTAATCCATGGTGTTTCTCTGAGTACTTCAATCTAGAACATGCAGTAGAACAGCCTGATGACTACTCCAAGTTGTCAGCTGCTAACTGTTACAAAATGCTGAAAAACTAGCTCAGGATTAGTATACGGCACAGCATGCCCTGACTAATCCTTTTCTCAATTAATGTTCCCTTTCTTTGGTCTACTGCAGAAGTCGAATGTATGGCTTCAGGCACCCCTGGGCTGTATGTACACAGTATACCCTGTGTACTGGGGCAGTCCTATCTGGATAAATTATGCAAGTTTTGTAGCCAAAGATTCTAAGGAAAGGAGAACAAAGCAGCTGCAATGCACCACAATGCCTGCCAAAACACTTCTATCATCAAGTGTGAAGAATTTTTTTTTTTAATGTTTTTTTTGCTGGTACTAGTGCTATTGAGCCCAGTCTGTTTATAGTAGACACTAATTTTGTTTGAGCCTCAAGGTTGCCACATGGTGGCTGTAAAATGACATGCTTTTCTATGCAGCACAAATAAGCTATTGAAGTTGGTCCTAGACATTGAGTCCCCTAGGAACATAGGGGTGGAACATCATAGGGTGTTGACAGGTAACTATTAACCAAAGGAATCCCCAACATTGTCACTTCAAACCCTTAACCACAATCACAAGGAGTAATATCTAAAACACTATCTAAAACTATGGGGTGTGGACAGACAACACTTAAAGGTTCTAAATATACTTTAAAACTGAAGGGTGTTTTTAGATGTGCTCCAAGGGAGCTGGGGGGGAAGGGGAGCTGCTCTAATTAAAACACCACAGCATCTCATGTGTTAGCATTCCTGCACTTCAAAATAGTGATGGGGGCCCCTTTAATTAAAGCTTGTTCAATGATCTTTAGTTAAAGTGACCCTGCTTCCATTCTGAAGCGTGAGGATGCTGATATAAGGGGCACAGAGGCTGGCTGGAGCATGCTAAATAGCACGTTCCAGCAGACTCAATTAATCAAGTCTGTTCCAATGTGCTGTTATTACAGTGTGTCACAGCAGCCTCCTGGTACGTTCACCGGCACCCCTAGACTCTAAACATGTTATTTAAACTTCCTGGAACATTTCAGAAGCACACCAGGAAATCTAGCACTATTTATATCTGGTTCTCTGGGAAAAAGCTCAATGTTAGATGATGATAGCATTCTGTGTCTAGTGGCTGGTCAGTCCTCCAGGCATCCCAAATGGCACTGCTCCTGACCACCATGCCATGCCTCCCCACTGGCCCTACAAAATGCATGCATTCAAGGGTCTGCTCTAGAATACAGCCAGGACTCCACTGGTTGCCAAGGCCACAGGGGTGGAGAAGTGGACAGTTTTGTGGGAGTTTCACTTCCTTGCTAGGGCTCCTAGGCAGGGAGTGGGTAGCCAAGTGCTTGTGTGAAGTCCTGCTAATGGTTCCAGGGACTGCCCCAAGAACTCTGTGGCTTTTCAACACCTGCCCTGAAAGCTATTTTGTCCATGTCCTCTTCCTGTTATGGACCTTGCAGCTGCTGGGTCCCAGGGTCATCTGGGGAGGCGGGGTAAGAGTGAAGGAGTTGCTGGGGGGATGTGCGACTCCCTGCTTGTGGTGCTCTGGAAACCCCCTAGAATTTTTTTTTCCTTTTTGCAAAACTTGAACTGGAAAGCATTTTGTCAGTTTCTTTTCCCTGCAGGACCCTGTGCTGTTGGTCTTGGGCTCATTTGGGACAAGGGGCAGTGGGAGTAGAGGGCTTTTCAGATTTGGGCAGGCGGGGCTGGACACCTTGCTTGTAGTGTCCATGAGGCAAGGTGTTTCAGGACCTATCAACACCCCCCTGGCTTCTTGAGCCCCTGCCCTGGAAGCTATTTGGTCAATTTTACCTCCCTGCTACAGAATTTGAGCTCCACAGGTGCCCCCTGAATGAGCCTGGGATTGGCAGCACAGGGTCTGTACAAGGAAGTGAAATTTTCAAAATGCTTTCTAAAGCACATCTTACAAAAACAAAAAAAGGTGGAGCTCTTGGGAAGCCCCTATCACAACCAGTCTCCAGTGTACCACAAACAGAGGGTCAAACAGCTGCTCCCACCCAGCACCCTGGCAATGCCTCAGCTACATTTTCACTCCAAATGAACCAGGGTCCATTTCCTGTCCAGGCTATTCCTGTCCCCCAACTCCCTGCCCACACTCACACCTGTATACGCCCAGTCAGCCACATGGATTTTAGTAAAGTGTAACAATGTTCTTTATTAAACCTAACCAGTTTTTTAACTTAATGTTTTTGAGAAGAGGGAACAGAAAACTGCAACTGCAAGCAATGACATCTTCCTCTTTCTGGGCATTCAGCCAATCCAGGTCTTCCTCCCCCTCTAGGGGAATCCGGGGGAAACTCCAGGCACTGACACATGAATGACATGATGGTCTAGGTACTCTACTGCCCCCGGCTGGTGTTTTGGTGGCAATGCAATCTCTAAAAGGTGATGGTTGTATCTATTTTAGACCCTTATCAGTATACATATAGACACCTCTGTCCAGGGACAATTGTGAATTGCTTCCCAATCCGTGACATTCTTAGAATGGTTTAATTGATACTTATGTCTGCACCCCATGATGTGCCACAGGTAAAAGCAAGGGATATGAGAACATTATCAATGTCCTGGCACTGCAAAACTGGAGAAGTAATTGGTTAATTTGTGTTCAATAGATCCTGGGAAAGGATTGCGCCCCATGGTATGGGGGAAAGGAAAACCCATCATAATTCAGGTCAGTCTGATGTAAGGGAAGGATTCCTTCCTGATACCAAATCTTATGACCACTATGACCCTGAGTGGGAGAGCAAGACCTAAGTAAGAACACCCTACTTGTAAGAAGTAAAAATTAAACTTAACAAAACTAACAGTGAGTGAATTAGCTTTCCTGCAGTCTCTGTCTTGAAACTGTGCCTATTTAAAGGTGAAACAAAATACTTCTATATCAGTTTGACTTGTGTGTGTATTCTTCTTCTTTCCCTAAGTTTGTGGGCTTTTGTCAGCAATTGAGGGAAGGGAACATTATTTTGTTTTATTTGTACAGCACCTGACACAATTATGTCTTGGTCAGTAACAAGGGTACCTGGACACCGTGATGCTACAACTAACAGGTAGGAAGTAGGACCAAACCATGAAGTGATTATATTAGTTTAGGTCTATTATATACACATCTTGCATTTTTAAAAGTCTCTTTAATTAAGTTTTTATTGTCTCTAGTCATTAATCAATTCAGACTTAGTCCATCTCATTAAATCTAGATCAAATATGGCCTAAGTTGTATTACTTTTCAGAAACCTAGGTTTAAGAAAACCATCTTTATTAAATAGTTTAATATTAAAACATAATGCTTTTAAACTAACATTTCCCCTTTCAAGTGTCTGCATCCTAAATGCTGCAGCATTATGTAAGTGTGCCAGTAAGTGAATATTTATCTAGATATGAGACTGACTAGACTATCCTTTCCCAATCCGATAAAATGCTAAAAATAAACTGTATAGCAACACTGGTTTTTAAATACTATATTTAAACAATAACCATTAATATTAAACCTTATAAAATATGAATTATGAGTACTCCCTGCATTTGAAGAATTAACAGGAATTCAAAGGAAAGCATATAATAGTAAGAATAAGATTGGCTCTGTCACATCAGTGAGATTTAAAGTAAAACAGTTGTAATAGGGAATTAGGATAAAACTGTATTATTACTTACGTTAAGTGCATAAGATATTGACAGACCCACTACAGAGGAGCTCACTGTACTTCCAGCCATCACTGCAAACAATGCAGCAAAGAAAACCATCAAGTTTCCTAGAAATTCAAGCCTGACAGCCAACCACCTGCAGTAATTGTAGCCAGAAAAACAATTAAAATGATGAATTACTTGCTAAATGTTTTTAATCTGGAATGATAATGATGAAACAATTACTTCACTTTTTTTTTCCATTTTTCAAAAGTAGATCTTGATGTGCTTTCCAAAGTAGGTAGTACCATCCTTCCCATTTTACGGACAGGAAAACTGAGGCACAGAAAGGAACTGACCTGGAACTGCCCTAGTTCTCCTGAATTCCAGTCTAGGGCTCCTTTCTCTAAGTTACACAACTCCCTATTGATGTGAAAAAGATGGGAGCTGATTTCCCATTATAGCCCTGATTTATAGTCTACTAACTTTAGGCCTCTTTTACTCCTTCAGAATTAAGCATTCCCTCTTGGATCTGTACATGACAGTTTGTTGGAGGTGGAATAAAATTCCCAATAACTTCCCCACAGGGCCAGGATTTCACTCTTAATGTTCTCAGAGTAACATACAAAAAACCTACTTTACTCGGTTTATAATTTTTTTTTTTTTTTTTTTAACCTGGAATGCATTTCTCATTATCATCTGGAAATCAGTGGATACAGGATCTTCCAACACTCATCATCAACTTATCTGACTCTTGCTCTCAGTAATTTGGAGAACACCTACCTGTTCTAACCAAATGCAGCTGATGCATTCAAGCAACACTACACAGCCTTGTCTAAAATTCAGCTTTAACAAATGATCTCTTCGCATGGAATAACTTTTAAGTGCAGTACTTATGAAATATACATTTTCTAAACACCCTTTTATAAAATCACATAAAGAAAAATTAGTCACAACTTAAAATGCTCTTAAAATCCAATAGCTATTAATAGGCTTTACTGTTGTGAAATATTCTTGTCCTAGATGATACACAATTATTTCCATAAAGTAATTTAATCATGGCACATTGTGTAGGATGTAACTTAATGTCTTGATGCAAATTCTGAAATCGGCAATCAAGAATGCTGGATAAGTATAGTACTTAAACTTACTAAGTTTTTTCTTCTTTCACAATGATTCTACTTCCATTTGAATTTAAATTTTACGTGGCTATTGATTCCAGCCTGGGCAGGTTTTTGGCTCAAGATGTGCAATAAGTTTCAGATTGTTTATACAGTACCTATTTGAGATGACATTGTTGTAGAAGTAAACCACGTTCTCATTTACCACATCTTTGTTCTGTCTAACAAATCTTTCCTCATGTCCAAATGCTCGGATTGTAGGTGCCCCCAAGAGAGTTTCACTGAAGTGGGAGATAACAGGGGCGTGAGATGCTCCAGCTAACCGACGGATTTGTCGTGAACTAGCTATGTAGTATCTCTGACAGAACAAACAGAAAAAAAACAACTTCAAACTTCTTTCACACAGTCTTCAAACATCAGGAATAAGACAGAGCTGAAAATTATATAAATTAATATTTATAAACAAGTGATAGCCAACAGTTTTAATTCAGAGGAGAACAATGTCTGTCTTAGGATACATCTACACTGGGGAGGAGGTAAAGAGGTGGAAAAGGTCTATTTTCAACTTAGTCTAATCTAACTAGCTCAGGTTAAAATAGCAGCAAAAAAATAACCTAGTACTAGTTCAGGTTAACAGCTCAAGTTTAATCACAAGCTTCCCTTTAGGCATGAATTTGAACTGAAAACCCAAACTGATATCTAAATTTACTCTTACTGGTATTTTTATTCATATAAGTTAGTTGCCCTGAGTTAAGAACACGCCTGTTGCAACATAAGAGTGTATGCACATTTCTGGGAGGGCTAATGATACAAATAATATAATTTCTAATCATTCATGTTTTAAAATGCACAGAGACAGACAACTTTTTTTGCTGGGAAAGCTGCTGAATTGTTATTTCCTGTATTTTGTTCACATAGTCTCAAGTTTAATTTTACATTAATATCATGTCAGTTCTAAATTCCTTGACTTAGACTATAGCCAATCATTTTGTGCCCCTCAACCATATTGCTGCTAATGTTTTCCTGCTCTGGATTGTATGTCAATTATCATAAAATAAATGGTGAAAGTATGTAGCATCAACTGACCCTGGAGTAGAGCAAGGGAAACAGCTGATGAAAGGATAGATTTTCTTAAACATTAAATTACTGGTTCATTTTGTGGTAGTTTTTTAGATTTCTATTCTTCCATACTCTAACTGATATTCATGACTATCACCTGTAGTAATTCAAGGCTCTTGCTGTGAATTTCTACCCATGTTGTTTCAAAGCAGCACACACCCTGCTTAAGTTTTTTCCATGATTGTTCTTGTTTACCTATGTTCCATGACTCATTCTTTCTTTAACAACTTACCTTAAGTTATGGACTGCAAGGTAAAAAGGGGAAGGGCTTTATTTTACCCCAGCTCTCCTGCAGAAAGTGCCATTGTAGTAGCTGTTCTGCTCTTACCCTGTACAAGTGAAAGCTAATCTATGCCTATGGTAACGTATCACTCTGTCAATAACTCACACGAGATAAAAACCGTATTCCCCTTTCAATCTGCATGTCCATAATGAGAGGATCTACAATAATCTAATATCTTATAAGCAAATAAAAGCTGGAATAGGGAAAGAAGGAACCGACAAAGAAGTATTGTACAGTAAGAAAATTCAACATAGGTTCAGATCAACATAGGCAGAAGCTTTGGATACTGGTGTGAAGCCTAATATACATTTTAGTACTAGTTTAAAAGTTGTTCATTTTTTTTGGCATGACAGAATACCACTTGTGTTTGCAAGGTATTACATATTAATTATCTTCTTCCCTCTGAAACACTTGATTATTCAGCAACAAAAAGGGTCACTGGGTGCATCTACACATGAAATGAAGGCAAAACAAACTCCAGAGCTGTTTGAGCCAGTCAATTGTTCCCAGGTGCAGCATCTACACATGTGCTTGGGACAGCAGCAATTTGAGTTGTGGCAGAGCAGATCTGGGCTGGCAGGGGTTATGGTGGGGTCCTGGCCTCTAGGTGGTGGCGTTGGACAGTGGAGGGGTCAGCTGGGGCACGAGGGTGCAGAACCTACAGAGCTGTGTGGCTAGTTGGCAGCCAGGAGTCTGGCCCCTGCCTAGTCACTGTCTAAATGTGCGTTTCAGCACAGTTAATTATTCCACTGTAAGATAGTACTGCCCCTGACAGTACTATTTTATGGCAGGGTTAATTAGTTTACTGTGCCCTAATACCAGTGCACATGTAGACAGTGACGCTTTACTACTAAGCTAATTAGTGAACTCTGCAATAAAGCTCATGTGCAGATTAACCCATTGAAAAGAGGAGGTCTGGGTATTTTTTTAAGCATAATTTACACACCCACCCCTGGGTTATTATTATTATTTTTTTAATGTTAAGCATAGACAACCCCCATTCCTAAACAATATGGAACACAACGTTATTTCTTGTTAATAAATTAATCTACTTACTTGGATAGTAAAGTATAAGTATCCAAGGGGTATAACTATCAATATGAAGAGTGGTGAAGCAGATGTGATGACTAGGATGGTCCCAAGAACATCTAGTGTACAGTTTAACCAGGTCCGTAAATAGTAATGAAAGCGCACATCCACCATAAACATGTCCTGTGATGTTACACACACACACAATAATTTTAGTATCTCCTCACCAAAACTGGTTACAGATCTTTCTCTAGGAAGTGTCCTTGGCAAAGGAAATTAAACAACTAAAATATCTTAATACACTCTTATGAATTTTGCTCAGTAGAGTTTGCTAGCAGCTTCCTGCCAGATGCCTAACTGTCCCATTTGTTGCTGGGTATACTCTGTCACAACAAACTGAAACATTTGAAACAAAGGCAAAGATACTTCAATGTATTCTGTGAAAGCTGCTAGCTTTGAAAGCTTATGCATTTTTGAATGAGTTAGTCTCTAAGATGCCACTTTGCTGTCTTATACCTGACATCAGACTAAAACAGCTTACTACCTCTCTCTAAAGCACTATTTACTAGGGCTGTGCAAAGCTTCAGTAGCCAATTTTGATTTGGAGGAGATTCGGCAGCCGAAACTCAGAATCCAAATCAAATCGGGAGACCCATTAATCTCTCTGAATCGAATTGGAAGCCTCCAAATCGATTTGGAGATTCGGCCATAGACTGTACAGGCAGTCATTGCAGTGCTGGCAGGAGCAGCTGGGGGAGCAGCTAGATGAGCCCTGCTTGAGCCAGCAGCCCTGGGAGAAGCTGCAGCTCATCTGGCTGTCCCGCCGCCAGGGCAAGGCAGGCAGTACTGGCAGCCCCAGGAGAAGCCATGAGGGCTAGGGGATTGAACTGGTAGCTGGGGAGAATGACCAGGGGCTGGGGGAACGAACAGGAGATGCCCCGCAGTTCCCAGTTTGATTCATCAGCTCCCTGATCATTCCCCTCAGCCCCCACAGCTTCTCCCAAGACTGCCAGCACTTCCTGCCTCAGCCAGGGGAGCAGCCAGATGAGCCACGGCTTCTCCCAGGGCTGCCAGCTCAAACTGGGGCTTGTCTGGCTGCTCCCCCAGCTACTCTTGCCGATACTGCCTGCCTGTATAGTCTATGGCCGAATGAGATTCAGGGCCTCTGCTTTTCCACACCTTTGAACAATCCTTACTACTAATAAAGGCTTTATAACCCATTGAGGGGTTACACAAGCTACAAACAGAACCTGCATTACAAGAAAGCAGATTCAAGTCTTAGCTGCTTATTCATGTTATCACTCAGAAAGAAGCTGCCAAATCTAAATAGTTGGTAATTCTGTTTGTTTTCAGGTATAATGTATTCTCTTTAGGTCTAGCACACACAATAGGCTATTATACTTCACTTTTTAAAATCAAATAGTAAAAATCTGTACTATAGTCACTGTCTGTATTCAGGAATGGGGAGCATTCTTGTTATACGTAGTAGGCAACCATCAATCTTTTGGATCCTGGCATATGTGTAAGGGGTCTAGTCACCAAGAACTTCTATGCATATAGCTAGGCAAGAGTATGGAGGAGTGGAGCCTGCCCAAGACCAACCATCCCCCCTTTAGACCACTTAGACCAAATCCAAAGGCCAGACTGAGTCCAGACACACAGTGCCTCAATGGTTGTAGCTTCTGCCAAAGAGCAACAGATAAGAACTGCTGGTGACTGCCTAATATCTCTGCAAGGCCACATTTCTGCCAGGGTGTCGTTCTCCAGCCAAGGAGTACTCACTGGATGAGGTATTGGTTCATTAAGAAAAACAGTCTAACTCTTTTGCAAAAATGTCTACACCTCCCTGCTTGTCACCCGACACCAACAGGGAAGGAATCCTGCTTGATCTGCAAAACAAAGAGCACCTCACAAAGACACTCTCATGGACCCAGAGGGACAGATTTGCAGCTTTAGCTTCCTTTGTGCAAAATGAAGTTTATTTCCTACATATGGGGACTTTTTTACCATCTTTAACTTTCCCTGAGCCTGATGAGGGGCATGTGAGACTGAAAGCTTGCAGAAAAAGATTTAACTTTTTGCAATTTCACAGTTGGTTTAATAAATGGTAACATATCTGAACCAAGAGTTTGCATTTCTTTTTGCATATCTTTGGATTCCGATTTAGCCAAAAATCGGAATCCAAAGATATGGCTACCAAATAAAACATGGCTACCAAATACATCCCACTCTAACTTTCGAGAACTTGAGTGTATCACCCTGGTGTCCTTTTGGTATAGTTGTCTGTCATCTTTTATATAAAAAAAAAAAAAAAAAAAAAAAAAGTATTATGGTCTACAGAATTCTAATTGTTTAAAAATCAGGTTATCAACAAGATTTTAAATTTAAACTCCAGGTTTTAAGAGAGCTGCATATGCTTTGAATAACTAATGATCACAGCTAGCAGCAAAATTTTAAGAGCCTCTGCCTTACAGAAACATATTCTATATAATTTTTTCAGACTTCTTTCAACATGGAACAGTAGTTTAGCATCTGGTATTGATTCTAATTACTCTATTTTAAAAATCCTTATGTGGAGTTAAAGGTACCGTTCTCTATTATGCTTTCAAAAATGGGAAACATCTTTAATTTGTTTCTTTTGTTTACCTTTGTGAATCTGTTGATGATTTGACCTACTGGATTAGTTTCAAAGTACTGGAGTGGAAGGGGCAGTACACTGTCTTGCATCTGATGATGCAATACTCGAGAGGCAGAAATGCAGTACACTGTCTAACATCTGATGATGCAATACTCGAGAGGCAGAAAGAGATCCCCGGGTAATCACGTATGCACCATAGCATACTAGGAGACCTTGAGAATAAATAAAAAGAGTCTCAGGTTTTTTTTGTTCATCAGTAAGTTCTGGTCTCCTTGCCAGAAGATCAAACTTCAGGCTGGCACGTTCACTATAATGCTTGTTTTCATCCAAGCATCTATTCCGATTGTGTTAATCTTACTAATTCAACTTCAAAGGAAAGTCTATTCTTCTGTTCACATATATGTAGCTTTCATATTAACCCTAGATGTGATATCACCATTCATGGAAAACGGACAGTCCGTACCACCAATAAAATAACAATTCCTTGCTACAACAGTGCTTAGTTCCAAGAATAGTCATATTGGTAGTAGTTAGTATATTTTTCCTTCCACTTTGCCTTTTCAATCCTTCATTTAATTTGCATGAGAAGCCTTTAGTCTAATGTGCACTCCCCATTATAAAATATGACCAGTGTTGTCTGTCATTATCTTACCAATTGCAATACTGACTGTAGGCTTACTAAGCTATAAAAATATTCAGGCAACTAGACTTTGAAAATACAGAGAAAATATAATGAACATGTATGCTTAACCTTACCTTGTATTAGTCCCAGAAGACCATAGATGCCGAGTTTATTGTCTCGTAACTGTTTCCATTCTGTCAAGTCATTCGTTTGTTCTACTTCTGCTGTCCAGGTACTAAGCCACAGATTTTGTCCTATGGCCAATGCGTTTTGACCTAAATAAGCAGCCAGGCTTAACCATATCCAGAGCCACCCAAAGGCTTGCAGATATTTCAAAATAATTGACATTTCCGTCTAAATACAGGAGAAACATGTATTATTTATAGAAACTGTTAGGGATGCACCAATAGAGATTTTTGGGGCTGATACCAATAGCCAATTTTTAAGGAGGCATATTGGCCGATACCAATCCGACTTCTGATATGCAGCCTGGCAGCTTGAAGAGCAGTGTCTTGGCTGGTAAATTTGTTGTGGTAGAAGGGGCGT